TAAAGGTTTGGAGGTAACTTATTAGGTTTGGGGCAATGAATCTAGTGTGTGCATAATATACAATATTCACATCAAATTTTGTATGGATCTATACCTGCATTAGAGATATGAGGTCTTCAATTGCTTTATATGATAGGTGGTTAGACATAGCATATTGCATCATGGCATACCAACTTGTTTGAACATTAATTTTGCTACCATCATACAGTTTATCTATTATAACAATGCAATTAGCTGGTGATGTACATGTAATTGCATGTACCCTGACTGCTGATACTGATTTGATCAGATCCAATTTCATTGCTACTGAGCATGTCATCATCAACTACATGTACATTGCAAGTTAAAAAAAACATTTTTATCTGATACCTGTAACATGACTAGAAACTCCTCCTTCACTATCTGTATCCTCACTAGATCCATTTGAGGGTCCTTCACTATCTGTATCCTCACTAGATCCATTTGATGGTCCTTCACTGTCATAGCTACTCTCACAGCTTTCACCTTGACCTGCATCACTGTCACATGTGTATTCTTGTTGATTTGAAGCTACAGGTATCATAAATGAAGAAATATAGAAGCTATGCGTACTTTCCATTCTGAACTCCACATTAATGCATTGATCTTCATTGTCCTCATTATTGTCTGTGTCAGCTAGATATTATATACAATGTAAATTCTGAAAAAGGTTGAAGTTGCTCACTTTGAAAGTTATCTGATAGATCTATGTCAGAAATGTCAGCACTGGATGTATCATCTGATTCATCACAATCACCACTGTCTGTATCACTAATATCTGTATCACTAATATCTGTATCACAATCAGTACTTTGGCTTAAACTATCTTCTCCGGCACCATCATTATCCTGAGTAGCTTGAGCAAATTTACCTATAGCATATACTTCAAATTGAGTAATTATGCATGTAATTACTTCTTTTCCATCTCCACTTGGTTTGTTGTGGTATGGATACTGAAGCATCGATATTGTAAAGTCGCCTTCTTTTAATTCCAGTGCCATATTGGACATTACATCTAGAAACACTTGCTGCCTCATTTGCATGTTGTTTCATATGTCTCCAAGCTGATGTTTTTGGAATTGGGTTTGACGGATCTTGTAGATAAGCATTGTATCTTTTGCACTTATCAGTCATGGCTACTGCACAAAGTTCAAAGTTCGAAGTTCACAGTACAAGTGCGCATGCGCATTGCGCTTACATACATGTGTTGATAAAGTAGTCGTTTGACTGCGAGTTTGGCTGTGTCCTTCCCAGCGATAACGAGTGTGTAAGTAAACAAACTAAACATCAGTCCTACTCTGAGGTATTATGTCTGAGAATAAGAAGAGGAAGAGGGCTTTAAGTCAAAAGGCCAAGGAATCTGTGGAACCATGGCAGACTGCAAGCTCTGAGGGAAAATGTCAACGTAAGTTCAGTAATATAATTGTAATTCACTAGGCTTAGCTCTCAGCTTAGCTATATAATTGTAATTGAGCATATTTTCAGATTTCTAATTTTAGTGTAGGGTTCAAAGGGCACTTGCCTAATTGATTTTACTGTTTGCTGTATGCTAGCAATTCATTTGATATGCTTTGATTGGAATTGCAAATCAAAGTGCACTTGTATTGAATAAAAACTTAAAATCGTTTGAAAAAATTACAAATCACTTCTTTTAACATTTGGCCAATCAAAATTTTTATGTTTATTTTCGATAGATTATGCATTAAAATGCATCATTGGAAGGTACATTTTTAATTGTTATTTTATTGAAAAATTAATGCTTCTTGCAGTGTCAGCTTTTTTCATTTTTTGAATACACAAATTTTTACAAATATGAAAGGCTTAGCCTAACTCAGCATTTAGTTTACTATCTTTATTGCCTTTTTGTAACTGTAGTATAAATATTTGCAGAATTAATTCTCAAAAATTTTGAAATGATCACAAACTTTACAGCTCTCAAACATTTTGCGCTATACAGTGTATATGTATAATTATTCTAAATTCAATTTCTGATCCAAAAGTATTTGGAATCGGAAGTGACTGGCATTTTGAATTTTCCCATCATTAATGCACACTGCATATTAATTAGGACAACATTTAATCATAGTAAAATTTTGTTCTTTACAGTATGGTGTACTGTACAATTCACAAAAAATGATGGAACTACTAAGGAATATGACGCAAGATCATCATATTTAGAGACTGAGAATGGAGAGAAAGTGACTCTTAAAGATCTCTTTTACGGAAGTAATGTCATTTGGAAAGCTAGGGGACGGCATGCAGTAGTAGTGATGGAAACTCATCGTAAGTACTGTGTCATTCGTGTGTCATTTAATTGTAAATTATAAATATAATTTTGCACTGACATTCTGAATTAATATTTTCTATTGGAAGGTAAAAAACCAGAAAATGTAAAGTCTGTAATATTGAGTGAAAGTGACTCTGAAGAACATGAACATAAAAGTATGTATGAACTATAGTATACTTATGCAGTGTAGTGATCGTATAGCTTCATGTCGGTAGATTGTTAAGTTACTAAAAAATTGGGTCAAAGACCCTGTACTATAGTACAGGATATTTTGACAAAAATCACAGAGAGAATTCTCCATTTTTATAATTTATTTTGATGCATATACATGTGCTTTTGTTGTATAACTTTGAGCTGAATCTAATCAAAATTGGACTTATTATGAATTTTTAAAGTTGCTCAAAATGCCATGCTGTATTATAGTGCTTATCAGTTGTTTAGCTCACTTAGCATGCTTTATGGAAAACTCTACATGAGTATATATTACTAAAACTTTATGTTTAGAGAAAGGCTCTATAGATACGACAATTACGACTAGTGATGATGAGAAGGAAATGGAAGAAGGTTGTTGATGAACTATATGTGACCATAATTGACAAAAGGTACCTTATGGCGGATTTTAGAATTCATCATTATGATGAAAAATATCAACCTGTGAGTGCTCTATTAGACAACTATTGTTTCTAAAAGTTACATAGTAACTTTTTGCATCCTCTGGAGTAATTTCATGATAAATGGAGCTCAGGAAGTTAGATTTTTAAGGCTATAAAGACCAATTTTCCTATCCGCCATAAGGTACCTTTTGTCAATTATGGTCACATATGTGCTGCATGTGCTATTAGTAACTAATTTTAAATGTTTGGTGTAGAATCTATGAAAGAGTCTCAAGAGATTTTCACACAACTGACACAAGTGCCACTTCCACAAAAGAGATGTTTGAAAGATGATGACGATGATGATGAAAATGAACTGCCACCAAAGAGAGGTATAATTATGTTTGAATTTGAATAATGACTATAGACTTTTATGTATGGCAATAAATTCACAAGACTCTGTTAGTTTGGAGGATATGCCACTTGAAACAGAGATTACTATAGATAATAGAAGTAAACAAATGTAACATGCATTATGCTTATTATTAATTATTTCAATACAGTGCCTAATCCATTTCTCACACCAACAAGTAGCAAGGTAATTTCATTGTTAATCTGTTAATTTTTAAGTACCATTTTTAGTCAAGAAAGGCTCCAGAAAGAAGTTCTTTGTTAAAAGTATTTGTAAGTTTAAATATATTCTTATGTAGTCCTTTTTGTAGGAAAACTATTCACCATTCTCTTCCCCATTTGCAAGTGAATGCAGTCCAAGTACTGATGTAATTAATTATTGCCAATCCACAGAATTATGCTTTATTATATACATGTAGTTACATCAGACACTTGGTCGAATAGAACACAAAATGGATATAATACTCAAATACATGAAGCAAAGTGTAAGATTGATATGATTGGGTTTTAGTGTCATTTTTGCTTAACTATTTGTTTGATCAGAAACAATATATCAAAGGAGGAGCAGCTCATAATTCTGCTGAAGATGAGAAGAGAGCCAAGTTTACTACTGTGAGTGACCATAATATCTTTTAAATATTTCTTAAATATACAGGACAAGGGAGTTTATTTGTTAGATATTATGGCCACCGATCCTGGAAAATATGCTCTAAATTGATGGACTCTCTTTTTACTGTGGATGAAATGGCTACTCATTGTTTTGAAAAAACAATACAATCCAGAAAGGAGAGCTTGGATAAAGAAAAAGCTAATTTGTTATATGGTAATTATAAATGCATTTAAAAGGGTCATTATTGCATGTTTCTTTGTTCTAAAGATTGTATTAGAAAGAAATTTGGACAAGAGACTTTTGAAGCTAATCAGGCCTGCATTATAAGAAAGTGTAACCAAAAGTGCCTTGACAGGCATAGAGCTAAATTTGGACACTCTTCATAACTACAATCTTGACATTTGGACTATCTTTATTCATGTTTACGTATGATAATTATTGTTATTATCGATGATTAAGATCTGAAACAATCTTGTCAGAATTAGAAACTAACAAGATCTTATAAGGATTTGGAACATCTTGTCTCATAATCTTACATAAGATCAGAGCTGATCTTTCAAAATCTTGTTTCAAGATCTTAAGTAAGATCTTACATAAGATTTATTTGCTGGGAAGTCTCATCAAAAATCTTAATTCAGTACAGAATTAGTAAGGAAATTAAAAGATTTTTGTCTTACTTTTTTGTAGATTATGAATGACGGGACTGTGCATGTTTATGTACGTAATCAATATGTCCACGTTAATGGCTACTTAGGTGTTATTTATTTCCTTATTCATGCATTATGATAATAACATGTATTTTTCTTCTAGGAAGATTAAAAGAAACTGAAGCATTGGAGCATTTATGTCTTGTGAAACACTATGCATTGCTAATGTATTTTAATCTTGGCTCAATTCTGGTGCATTTTTCATTCACATTTTGATTATTTTATTATTTTATCTACATCTATTATTATAATAAAGTTTATGATGGTCAGTAGAAGTTATATTTTTTGTTCCAAATCGGAGTCTTGGCCTCCTTCCCATACCCCTGTCAGGTCTTCTTGGTAGATTGAGATACTATTATGGAATATAATTTAGTACATCATAGTAAAGACTTACAATTTATCTATTGACAGCCCTCAATTGGGCAATAATGAGCTGCCTTTGCTGGTGCAGCAAAAGCAGTGCTGGAGCACGAGGAATTACAGGAGGGACTGCTGGAGCCCCTCCAAGACGGACTGCCAGAGCAGCTCCAGGAGGGACTACAGGTGCATCTCCAGGAGAGACTGCCCTCCAGGAGGGACTACGGGTGCACCTCCAGGAGGGACTGCTGGAGCGCCTCCAGGAGGGATTGCTGCAGCCCCTCCAGGAGGGATTGCCGGATCTCCTCCAGGAGGTAGAACGGGATCTTTCTCTCTTTTATCAGGAACAGGGCTTGGTGACCTGCTCATATTACAATTAAAAAAGATAAATAAATGTATAGTGTATAAGCTATAGGTTGAACAAACTGACTTTTTTTGCAAAGTAGGAAGAATAAAGAGTGAAAAATGTCTGAGACCTGATTGGAAATAGACTAAGGTCTCTACCCAGTGACAGTGTAGTTGAGCGGGAAATCAGGCATCAGTATTATAGATCAATAACTAAAACATGATATTGTAGATTACATCACATGAAGATTATTATTAGCTATGAATTTCATTAGTATATTTAATTTTGAAGTTTCAAGTTGTGTTATGTTTAGTTTGTGTATGCACAAGTAGCCAGAAATTAATATCTTGCAGAAGTTTTATTAAATCATCTGTAACGGATTTTTAAACATAGTTAATTCAGATCAATAAACATAATGCAGATATAAATATAAAAATAATGAACAATTTGAAGAAAAAGTATGGAAACAGGTAAATAAAAAACATTTCTATTAAAATAAGAAAAGGTAGGGTTGTCAAAAAATGAAAAAAAGAACAATGCGGTTGAGTTCAGTCATAATAATAATTATTAGTTCAATTAGTAATAATAAAAGTTAATTAACAAAAAATAATTATTCTAAAAAGTAATACATAAATCTCAACCCTACTTTGCAGCATTTAATGAAGGATTACTGATATCTTTAACATGACAAACTTTAATGAAAGAATGAAAGAATGACAACCCAACTGCTTAGTTCCAGCCTACGCAAAAGTGCAAGCCGGGCCCACGGACAATTTCTAACAATGCAACATAATCACTGAGATCAAAGTTAAAAAAAAGTTTATTTACTAAAAGACATGCATCCACGCTTTTACTTTTAAAATCAAACTCACAAGTATTCATTAATATTTTAATTTTATTAATTAATATTTATGGCAATGAATCACAAAAATAAAGAATGCAATAGCAAACTAATCATTTGTAGTTTTGAATGTTCACTTATGATGACAGTAATTGATTCAATCAATGCTAGCTGAAAATTCTGGTTTTTATTTATCAGAATGCTTAATTTACATCATACTCATAGCAATGTATTAAGGCAATCACTAGGTAAAGAGTCATTATTAATTTAAATTCAAACGATATTGTTGTCCTAATATTAGCATATTGTGCAAAGTTGGGTTGAAATTTAGGTATTATTTTAGAATAATTATTTTTTATTAATTAACTTTTATTATTAATATATAAACTAATAATTATTATTATGATTAAATTCAACTGCCTTGTTTCTTTTATTTTTTGACAACCCACCTTGTCTTATTTAATAGAATTTTTATTTATTTATAACAAATGATCCACAAATTTACAAAAGCTAATGCAATGTGCTAAAGGCCAACCTCAATGTAAAAGGATAAATGAAAGCTTTCTCTCCAGCTTAAGTAATCTCATATTATCTGATGACATGAATGAGAGTGATGACCCATTCACTGCACTCTCAACAGCTATTTTTAACTTCTACAGTCACTACTGCTCAATGATCATAGCTCAGAATGGTGCCACCATGATGAAGTCTGTAAATTATTAATAACAAAAGTGCAATTATTTTATTTTAATAGGAAATTTATGGTGAACCATACAAGACAAAACATGGTTTTACAAGCTAATAGGTTCAAGGACCTCCTTCAACAGATGGCTTCACATCCACAAGATTATGTCTCTTTTGGAGGACGGATGAAAACTAATTCTATTGAGGGATTTCATGGATTGGCACTAATGTATCGTGATAAGAGGACTGATCTTGGCCATACTAGCTATGTTTGTAAGACCAATATGGCAATCTGCAACAAGGTGAGTTAGTTGTGATAACCCAAATAATTTTTGTGAAACATCAATATCTACGACCCATTTGGAAGCTGTTGTGTGGTTCTTATGGGGTGGAAGTACCTTCATCAGCTGTCCCTCAAATCCTGAATGAACAGAAACTTTGGGAATGACAGAAAAAGAGATGTACAGAGGAGTCATACCTACAGAAACGATACAAAGTATACTAACAATGTAAGATTTTATTGTATTTTATATGGCAGTAAAATCAGTCAAAGGGGAAAAAGCACAAGACATGATAAAGAGAAGGCTTGTAGTGACTAGCAAAGTAACTAGTATTATTTTTATTGTGATTCTGAGACTGATTACCCTTATCTAATTACTATTATTATTGTTTGCTGTTGCTAGCATTAGTAGTCTAACAAATAAATTATTATTATTTATTATTATTATTATTATTGTTATTATTATTATTATTATTGTTATTATTATTATTATTATTATTATTGCTATTGTCTTGTTCACGCATGCGCACACTCACACACATGTTCTTTTATCCTTTTTCCTTCTCTCCTCCTTGTTCAGTCTTTTCTGATTTTCCCATTTGTTTATCTTTGTCAATCTCGCACGTTCTACTTGTGAATAAAGAGTTTTGGTGGACTTAAGCTCCACATTGGTGACCCAGACAACTTAGGAACATGTCTCGCTCCAGTTCTCCACACCCTTCTGGCGGTCCAGCAGCACCACCTACCTTCTCTCCAGTTACCATCAAGATCCCTCCCTTTTGGCCAGCAGAGCCTGAGGTGTGGTTTGCATAAGTCAAGGCACAATTTACCACTCGTGGCATCGCTACTTAGAAAACCAGGTTTGACCACATAGTTGCTTCATTATCCCCTGAATATGCTACTGAAGTACAAGACTTAATTCTACACCTGCCTATAGCGGATCCTTATGACTCCCTTAAAAATGAACTCATCAGATGTACCACAGCTTCAGAGCAGAGGTGTCTTCAGCAATTGTTTAACTCAGAGGAGCTCAGAGATAGGACACCATCCAAACTGCTTCGACGTATGAAGTAACTCCTGGGAGAGAAAGCTGCAACTGCTAACCGATCTTTCCTACGTCAGTAGTTTCTACAGCGCCTTCCGGATAAAAACTGGTAATTATTTAAACAAACAACTCTCAACACTTGACAAGTGATAATCAGATAAAATACACTAAGAGAGCAAAAAGGAACGAGAAAGAGAGAGAGAGAACCAGAACAAAGGAAGTGAACAGAACAAAAGAACAATAAACTATATACAGTATAATACATGTGGTCACTCTAGAATGTTCTCTGCATGTTACATAACTAGAGATAATTAAGTAAACCACAATAGATTAATAAGTTGTATGCATAGCAATAATAATAAGCACTAAATTGTATATCTCTCACACTCCCTCTCAATTTATGTCTTATTAATTGCCTTTACACCGGCCATTTTCCTTAACTTTTCGAATTGATCACCATGTAGGCCTTTCGTCATCATGTCAGCTATGATATCATCGGTTTTGCAATATTGAACATTGATTATACCATCCTTCACTTGATCCCTAATATAATGGTATTTTATGTCGATTTGTTTACTTCGACTGTGATATTGAGGGTTCTTTGAGAGACAAATTGCAGACTGATTGTCCTCATAGATTAATATCATTTGTGGTGACTCCCTCTTAATCTCAGATAACAGCTGACGAATCTAAACTGCTTCTTGAGCTGTTGAGGATAGGGCCATATACTCCGCCTCTGATGTAGAAAGAGCAACACAAGTCTGTTTACAACTTCTCAAACTAACGAGTGCTCCTCCCACTAGAAAACCATATTCGGAGGTGGATTTTCGTTTGTCAAGATCTCCTGTCCAGTCTGAGTCAGAGTACCCTAGACATTTCAGTGATTCTTCTCTTGCATAGAGTAGGCCATAGTTGATAGTACCTGCCAGATATCTGAAAATGTGCTTGACAGCTTTCCAGTGCTGTTCAGTAGGATTAGAAGTGTACTTAGCTACATTGCCAACAGCAAATGCTATATCTGGTCTGGTTCTAGATGCTAGAAACAAAAGTTTTCCAAATGCTGATTGATATTTCTCAGAGTCAAATAGTGTAGACTCATCTGTAGCTTTACTAAGCTTAAGACTCGGATTAACTGGTTATCTGACTGATTTGGAATCAGACATTCCAAACTGATGTAAAATCTGTGTAAGATG